ATACAGAGGGTGTGAGTGTGTGTCATTTTATATACAGCCATGGCCAAAAATATTGGCACCCCTGCATTTCTGTCAGATAATGGACCACTTCGCACAGAAAATTGTTGCAATTAAAAATGTTTAGACATTCTCATGTTTATTTTGTTTGTACCATCAATTAGTTTCTTACACCTCTCTACAGGAATTTTGGACCACTATTCTTTCGCCAACTGCCCCAGGTCTCTCAGAATTTCAAGGGTTCCTTTTCCCAACTGCTGTTTTTGTTCCAGCGCTTTGTCTGAAACCATTTGTGGGTGCTTTTTGACGTGTGTTTTGGGTCATTGTCCTGCTGTAAGACCCATGACCTCTGAGGGAGACCCAACTTTGACACTGGGCCCTACATTGCACCCACAATTCTTCGGTAGTCTTCTCATTTCATAATGCATGCACACAGTCGAGATATCCAGTGCCTGAAGCAACCCCAAAACATCAGTGAACCTCCACCATGTTTGACTGTAGGGACTGTATTTTTTTTCTTGAAATGCCTCATTTCTATTTCTGAAAACAGTAGAATGATGGGCTTTACCAAATAGCTGTAATTGTTTTCGTCCGTCCACAGCACATTCTCCCAAAAGGATTGTGGCTTCCTCAGGTAAGTTTTGGCAAACTCCAATCTGGCTTTTTTATGTTTCTGTGTCAGCAGTGCGGTCCTCCTGGGTCTCCAACCATAGCGTCCCTTTTCAGTCAGATGGCGACGTATAGTGCGAGCTGACACAGTTTTACCCTGTGCCTGAAGGTCAGCTTGAATTTGTCTGGAAGTTGATTGAGGATCTTTATCCACCATTCCAACAATCCTTCGTTGCAATCTTTGATCAATTGTTCTCTTTAGTCCACGTCCAGGGAGATTAGCTACAGCACCATGGGCTGTAAACTTCTTGACAATGTTGTGCACAGTGGACACAGGAACATTAAGATCTCTGAAGATGGACTTGTAACCTTGAGATTGTCCATGCTTTTCCACAAAGACTTGGAATGCAATTATCTCTTGCAATTTGGAGAAGGTGCCAATAATTTTGCCCAGTACATATTTGGAGTTTTGCGTGGTATGTGTCAGATTTGGCTTTTTTTCTCCACTTTTTTGTACCATACCAATGCAAACAAAATAAATAAACATGAGAATGCCTGAACATTTGTAATTGCAACAAATTTCTGTGCAAAGTGGTGCATTATCTGACAGAAATGCAGGGGTGCCAACATTTTTGGCCATGACTGTATAGATCAGATTAAAAGATAACCATACTTTTATATAAAATAAGCCCAACCAAAAACACCCTTCAACAGCCCACAGACCCTAAAAGAAAGGACTTTTCCCTATGTTTACAAGTTCATTATTTTTACTTAGAGATCTCATATTGTCAGGTTTCCTTAAAAACATACATATATATATATATATATACACACAAATTATATATATATATATATATATGCATCACTTGAACCGAATACAATTGGGTTTGCACATCCATTGGACTACACTTTGAGACATCAGTGACACCTGCTCAGATTAAGCTCTATGAACAACAACCCAAGCTAAACAAGGGTCAGCCATGCCGGTTGTCACTTTAAAGTGACACTAAACTCAGGAGCTAAATCTGAAAAATATTGTCAAGTACCTTAACTATTAACAAAAATGTATGTTATTTGGGTATCTCTCAGCTGTAGATCCTCAAATCATCTCTGAATTCATGCTGACACTGTCCTTCCTTCTAGAGGGGGGCTACTTTTGTTCCTCATGGTCCCTGTGCATGTTGTAAAGTAACCACCACTCCAAGCTCGCTCCCCTGATCGACTACAATCTTGCATTTAGTTTACTAATTTGTATTGAAGTTGTAGCCTATCACAGGAGTGAGCTTGCAGAAGTGACTACTTTACACACACACACAGAGACCATGGGGAACAAAAGTAGCCACCCTCCAGAAGGAAAGCAAGTTTCAGCGCAAATTCAGAGATGATTTGAGGATCTAGGGCTCAGTGATACACACATAAGGTACATTTTTGTTAATAGTTAAGGTACTTGAATGTATTTTTAGGATTTAACTCCCGAGTTTAGTGTCACTTTAATAATGTAAAGATGGAGAAAGAAAGCACTTGTTTGCTCTGGCAAATAGCATATATCAACAGTTCTAAAGCCTATGAAGCTTATTACAGCTGCAGAGTGTGGGTTCTCCTACACACACACCTGTCCAAATTTCAGTTGTAAGTAGACCGGACAATTGAGTATTATACACTGAGTGGCCAGATTATTATGACCACCTGACGTTTGTAGGCAAATTAGCTATAATTTCGCGCTGAAGTTGCTAGAGGGCCAGACCATTATAAATAGGGAAGCAGGTTGTTTACCACGACAGTAGAAGTGATTTTTTTCTGAAGATATGGGTAAACAACGCGATTTAACAGCCTTTGAACATGGGATGATTGTTGGCGCTCGGAGCCATGGAGCGAGTATCAGCAAAACAGCAGAATTTGTTAAATGTTAAAGAGCAGCTGTTGTTAAAGTGTTTAAAGACTCCACTGTCAGCCGAAAATCTGGGTCTGAACGTACGAATTGTGTCCGTCAGCGACTAGTCAATGTTAGGGCAGAATAGAGAGTGGCAAGACTGGTACAAGACAACAGAAGGGCAACAGTGCAGTGTCAGATTCCTCGCATCACCTTTCAACATCTCGTGGAGTCACGAGGCGGCCCAACTAAGTCATCTCGTGGAGTCATCACGTGGCCCAACGAAGTACTGATGGGGTGGTCATAATAATCTGGCCACTCAGTGTATATCACATCTATTTTCTATTGAGTAAACCATCAATAAAATTTCATACATGCAAGAGCAGGCAGAGAGCCGATAGCTATAATTACCTTTAAGACTTTATTAATGATATCCATATCTTTGTTGTCATCTCCTTGCCCAAGGCACTCTCCCAAAGCCTGCATCACAAAGACATTAATGCAAACCTTATATCAGTAAACCAAAATGCTACACTGTAAATCTGCTGCTTTGGCCAAAGTAAGAGACTGGGTTTTCTGTACTAATGCAGCTACATACTAAAAGAGTTAAACAGCAAAATTAGTTCCAGCTGATCCACAGACTGCTTCCCATCACATAATGTAGTTAAAGCACTATTCATTTCAAACACCTGTTGTAACCATTCTGGACGTCATTCAAATCCCACTTTCCAGATGTTTGTGTAAAATATGTGTAGTTCTTTGCTGCGAAAAGCCCAACGCCTTCTGGAAGGTTTTAAACCTAGAGTAGAATGTCTACAGAGGTATGTTAAAATAAAAAGAATACCCTTGTGGATTTAAATGTCTTTTTTACAGTGAAACAAGGACAGAAAAGAAAGGGGAAAGCTTGGAGCTAGTGCATTCAATCATCTTAAACTCACAGAGAAGACAACTCTCAATACATATAGTATTACTAGGTGAAGGTCTTCCAAAAAAATTAAAAAGTGTTCCGTCTTTAGATGTATTTTGTTTCTTGCTGATTAAACTAAAAGCTTTAAAAACAGGCTTACATACAAAGTATGCCTTGATCTGACAACGCCATTAGTTAAAATTAGGGATGCACCGATACCGCTATTTCGGTACGAGTATTTTTTTCCGCTACTCGCCGATACCGAATACCGGAAGTCCCATTCAGGAAGTCAGGCGGCGTGTAATGACTCGCCACCTGGCTTCTTGATTAGCCGGGAAGCCGGGCAGCGTGTAAAGACTCGCCACCCGGTTTCCCGATTAGCAAGGAAGCCGTCCCCATGCTTCTCGTCAGTGTGTGACGAGAAAGCATGGAGCCGGCATCCTGGCCAATCATGGAAGCCGGGCAGCGCGTCATTACACAAGTGACGAGGGAGCATGGAGCCGGCTTCCCAGCCAATCAGGAAGCTGAGCAGCGTGTACTGACGCGCTGCCCATCTTCCTGATACAGGAAGTATTGGGCTAGGCATCGGAGCATTTGGGCGAGTACGGCCCCTGACAGAATACCCAATCAGAGCGGGCAGCTCATTGGCTGCCGGATCTGTTTATACGAAGATTTTCCAGCCGGGTCCTTCAATCAGCTGATCAAAAATTGCCGGCTAAAAGGGAGCCGACAGCCCCACACACTGTGCGAATTTTGCCCAGTACATTCAAAACTGGCCGAAATTTGGCCAGTGAATGGGCATCTTAAGACCTCCTTTTGCATTGATGTGAATTTTTGTTTAGTTAAAACAAAGTCTATCACTTTTACAATGATTATTAGCTTAAAGTGTACCATTGTCTCTGGTACAGTAAGTGATAGGAAATCAAAATTTTTGAGTGGTCACAGGACCAGGAGGTAAGGGGAAATCATCCAATAGAAAAACCTGTTCTGGTGACAACCGTCTAAAGCTTCATTCAGACTATGTGTGATTCTATTGCTTTTATATGCATTTAAAAAGCTTTAAACACATATATGCACACACGATATTGCCAAAAGTATTGGGACACCCCTCCAAATCATTGGATTGAGGTGTTCCAATCACCTAAATGGCCACAGGTGTATAAAATCAAGCACCTAGGCATGCAGACTGCTTCTACAAACATTTGTGAAAGAATAGGTCGCTCTCAGGAGCTCAGTGAAATCAAGCATGGTACCGTGATAGGTTGGCACCTATGCAATAAGTCCATCCGTGAAATTTCCTTGCTACTAAATATTTAGCGGTCATCTGTTAGTCGTATTATAACAAAGTGGAATCAGCTGGGAACAACAGCAACTCAGCCACGAAGTGGTAGGCCGCGTAAAATGACAGAGCGGGGTCAGTGCATGCTAAATGCACAGTGCGCAGAAGTTGCCAACTGTCTGCAGAGTCAATAGCTACAGACCTCCAATCTTCGTGTGGCCTTCAGATTGGCACAACAACAGTGCGTAGAGAGCTTCATGGAATGGGTTTCCATGGCCGAGCAGCTGCACCCAAGCCTTACATCACCAAGTGCAATGCAAAGCGTCGGATGCAGTGGTGTAAAGCACGCCGCCACTGGACTCTAGAGAAGTGGAGACATTCTCTGGAGTGACGAATCACACTTCTCTGACAATCCGATGGACATGTCTGGGTCTGACGGTTGCCAGGAGAACGGTACTTGCCTGACTGCATTGTGCCAAGTGTAAAGTTTGGTGGAGGGGGATTATGGTGTGGGGTTATTTTTCAGGGGTTGGGCTTTGTCAGTAAAGGGAACTCTTAAGGCATCAGCATACAAAAGACATTTTGGACAATTTCATGCTCCCAACTTGCGGGAACAGTTTAGGGATGGCCCCTTCCTGTTCCAACATGACTGCGCACCAGTGCACAAAGCAAGGTCCATAAAGACATGGATGAGCGAGTTTGGGGTGGAGGAAGTTGACTGGCCTGCACAGAGTCCTGACCTCAGCCCAAAAGAACACCTTTGGGATGAATTAGAGCAGAGACTGGGAGCCAGGCCTTCCTGTCCAACATCAGTACCTGACCTCACAAATGCGCCTCTGGAAGAATAAAACATTCCCATAGACACACTCCTAAACCTTATGGACAGCCTTCCCAGAAGAGTTGAAGCTGTTATAGCTGCAAAGGGTGGGCCAACTCAATATTGAACCCTACAGACTAAGACAGGGATTCCATTAAAGTTCATGTGCGTGTAAAGGCAGGCGTCCCAATACTTTTGGCAATATAGTGTGTATATGGATAGATAGATAGGCGCATCTAATGAATTCCAATAGGTATATTATCTATTTCTGTGCACTAAAATTCATTTTAGTGTATTTTATCCTAAAAGTATTGTTTTGATAAATATTTCCGCAAATATCGTGCGACATAACAAATTGCAACTAGCATTTTTTTTTTCTACAGTGCCTCTGCTTTCAGAAAATATATAATTATTTGGGGGGTATTAAAATAGTATGAAACTCTCAAACTTTTTTCAATAATGCATTCAGATCAAACAAATAAATATACATTGCCCAGCAATGTATTTCTTTGCATTTTGCCCAAACTCTTACAATCATCATGTTTCTGAACAGCTGCTTACATGTCTCTCAGTTTCCCTGAACTTCCTTTCCATTACAAGATCACAAAGGACAGTGCAGGCTCCAGCAACTGTTCATCTACTAGCTTGGAGAAGGGAGGAGAGGGGGTAGTGGAGTAGCTTGAATTGCTGTGTCTGTGTGTTTGTGGAGACACACACAGCTTACTAGCACACACAAGGGGTGACTGCATAGCATTCTGCTTGAGAAAGGAGTCACTCTAAGACATAACAAGTCAGGACAAATGCTCAGGAGACCAGCTGATTCTACAGAAAACTAAAACTTTTAAACACCAAGAAGCAGCATTCATTGTAAGTGATTTCATCAGCATTTGAAATAGCTTAAAATCTATTGACTTTAATATCACTTTAAGCGGTTTTCTAGCCAAAAATGCAGCTTTTATCATGTGTTTGCAAAAATTAAGAAATTGCTCTGGAAGGCAAGTGTTTAAACTTTACATATACTGTAACTTTCCTAATTTCCAGATTCCAGTACAAACTATTTTTTTTTTGTTTTGCTACAACAATCATTTTCAATTAAAAGTTAAAGGAGAACTATGGGGTTAGGGCTTTTCCCCATAGTTCTCCTTAGGGTAACAGGAGGACACAAACTAGCGTCCTCCCGTCACCCTAAGCTCAGTATACCGCGAGCTACAGCTCGTGGTATACCGAGACGCTGCAGCTGAAGCGGATCCGCCCAGCTGCGTGAGTAATAGCTGGCTCTGCCTATCTAGAGGCAGAGTCCGCTGTACCCGCCCCCTCCCCCGTCCGTTCCGCCAGTCAGCGCTGGAGGATCGGAGCGGGGAATCCAGTCCCTCCCGTCACGCCAGAGAGCCGTGACAGGATCGAGAAGTGAGCGAACGCCGGTATGTGTTCGCTCACTTCCCGATCTACTGAGCCGACCTGTGACAGTTTCATTGTCACAGGTCGGCTAGAACTATGAGGATGAGTGAAAAGCACTCACCTCATAGTTCTCCTTTAAGCGTTAAATAGTAGAAATAGGTAGGCCACTATGGGAAATATTTTAGTTTCCTTATGGTTTTAAAAGAATTGCCCTTACAAATATACACAGTCACTCAGTTTGAACTGCATTTAAGCTTCTAAATTCTAGACAGAAATTGTTTTGGTTTTTTTAGGACCACTGGCATTTCAACTTTATAAAGGCTCTTGGAATATGCTTCCTCTTACGTATTAAGGAAAATCTGCAACATGTCTATGCCATTACACAAAACCAATATATCAACTTCTTCAAAGTGGCTACAATACTTATGATTCTTTTTTTATCAATAGAAGCAATGAAGTCTTTAGTTGCTCTGAAGACTGATGTATTATTACTGCACACCACTGCTCTTTGTGCTTGCTTGCTAAACTTGAAGCCCTACAGCTAAGATATTTAAGAGGAAAAGAAAACATGGCTCCTTATGCTAAATAAATTTAGGAGTCTCCCACTCTTTTTACCCAACCCCATGTATGTTGCTTTTTGGCACCAACTTTAAAGAAGGGGATGGGTCAAATGTTGAGAATGAACATCAGCATTATGTGAATGTGCGGATTACACTGCATAGTATAATACACACCTCCAACTCCTCAATTGTGGTATTTTCCTCATGGACCTTCAGGTCATTCTGTGTATCTTCTTCTGTTTGTTCTTGACCGCCTACAATCTCATTGAGATACTGCTGATCGATCTTATCCAGAGCCGCCTTCAAGTCATTTCGTAAGCCCTAGCAGACAAGATCCACACAAGAGACATTTTAGGCATTACTTGGAAATAAACATTTAAATGAGTTCAGTGCTGAACGCCAAGGTGCTAAATACATTGAATGTCCTATTTAGGAAATGAAGAGTAAAAAGTGAGAAAACAGCACCCTCTGGAGTTCATAGCAAACTTGTAGGAGAGAGCAGCCAAACAAACAATGTCAATGTGTATAAAACACAGACACCAAGAGGATCTTCCACACACCTGATCAGCAATGATCAGAGTACCTCAAAGTCAAGGGCAATTTAGTATATGTAAGTAACAAGCCTGTGAAGTTAATGTGAGTATTGCTCCCTAGCAACTCCCAAGCCTCTCTGTTGGGTAGGGAGGCTGCCCATCGTAGTCATGGATCAATACCGAGATGTAGAAAAGCGATTAAAGCTGAAGGCAGTGACAGCACACACTGAGCACCCCATGTTGGATAACATCTTTATTTTAAAAAATGCATTTGTTCATGGATAAAATTAACTTTAGTTGAGGCTAGTAGTTTCCTCCAACTAAAAATTCTTCTATGACCCCCCAGGACTCGGTTAACCAATATTGCTTTTAGGAGCATATATTAGCCCTCAGGATTACCAAAACACACTACCTGCAGTGTATTAGAACATTACTCACGATTGTGAGAAATGCTGTGCTAAAACATTTGCAAGGTAAATCCGGTGGTCCTGTCACATAGACAGATAAGAAGCACCCATTCGTTTAGTGTGACAAGACCACAATGCTCACACTAACAGCATACATTATACATTGCTCCACATTTACCCTCAAAGTAAAGAAATGTGAGCAGCTCCTGCTTCCCCCACAACCGCTTCTCATTATCCAATACCCCTTTTTGGCATTACTCCTCACCCAAAGATGTTTCCAACTAAAAATTGGCCTTTAAAAAGGAGAACTATGGAGTACACCTTTTCTTGTATTTTTAATTTCCTTATGATACAGGAGTACATTTTGCAATGTAATAAAAAATGCACCATCAGCTTAAAATTCAGTGTAATATACTGTGGGCGGAGCTAAGCTCTGTGCTGAAAAACGATTCTGACAATATTGTCGGGATCTTTCTCCCCCATTGAGTGACAGCAATTTGTAGGAGCTGCTGCGAGTTCATGAGAACCTGTGCAAAATGCAGCAGCTCAGGGCACATCCTATCCTGCAATGGCAGCTCCTGAATTCCTCAAATGTACAGGTTACTTAAAACTGAAGACATCTGACAAATGACAATTTGGTAAAACGGAGAGAACACTGGACATCCTTGTTGATTGGACATCCTTATTTTATCTTTTCGCCAGGTCATCTCGAATAATTTAGACATCGATTATAAAAGGAGAACTAAGGGCCTGTTCACATGATATCAGGTCCTGATCAGGTGCGGATCTGCAGACTGATGCAGTGCGTTTTTGCAGCGTTTTTGATGCGTTCAAGTTTTTTTTGCTGGAGTGGGGCTGTTAGTATGTTAGCTGCAGTGCAGTGCAGTTTTGATGCGTTTGACGCGTTTTGGATGAGTGTTGGACGCGTTTGCGTTTCCTGACCGTTTCCGGACCTGACAAAATGTGACATGCAGTATTTTTTCTGTCGTAACCTGAACGCACGTGAGAACTGTAGCCCATAAAACACATAGGGATACATTTTGAGTGCAGCAGCGCACGGAGCCGGTCAGCACACAAAACGGACGTCGTGTGAACAGGCCCTAAGTGTTTTTTCCTCATATCCTCCCGTGACCCAAAGCTCTGTATATCGCAAGCTACAGCTCGCGGTGTACTGAGACCGCTGCAGCCGGGACGGATCCAGACATTACTGCTGTCGAGATCCACCCAGCTGCGTGAGTGACACCTGGCTCTGCCAGTACCCGCCCCCTCCCCTGTCCGTTCCACCATTCAGCGCTAGAGTATCGGAGCGGGGAGGGGAGAATCCCTGTAGGGAGCCGTGAGTGACAGTCCCGGCTCTCTGCAGGGAGATGATCGAGAAGTGAACGAGCGACTGGTGTTCGCTCACTTCCCGATCTATTGAGCCGACGTGTGACAATTTCGGCTTGAACTATGAGATTGAGTGAAAATCACTCACCTCATAGTTCTCTTTTAAAGATCTAATTTCTGAAAAGTTATTGTGCTCCTAAAGTATTTGAAAAATTCTATATTTTAGCACTGCAGTTGTAGGACCATACCCTATACAGAAAATAAAGTTGTATGCACATTTTTTTATGTATAAAAACAAAACAAAAAAAACAGCCACATTATCTTATAAAAAACAAAACTATTTATGTTAAAAAAAATGATCTCCATCATGTCTTTTAATAAGATTACTTACATTCAAAAGTTACATGAAAGAAAAAAAAATATTCCCTTGATGACTTTTATCTCAATAACACTGGGAGTGCTGGCAAGGCTCTGAAACGTTATATATGAACGTGATTACACGATACAAAAAAAAAAAAAAACAGTACCTTGTTCACTTCTGGAGCAAGAATCTCTATCTTTCTCAAGCGTTGAAAGGTATCATAATCAGTTTCCCCAAAAAGTCGGATTGGTTCACCTCTTTCTCGCAGTCTCCGTATCACCTAGAATGGAAAAAACATTTACGGAGAAAATGAGCTCCTCTTATAAAATCCTAATAAATCTAGACACAAAGCACTGCATGGACTTTTATCTTATTTATCAAATAAATCAAATATATATAAAATCAATATATCAAATAAAAATTAAAACCAAAATCAAAGCTGTATTTGATGCTAAAAAAGAAAATGGAAGTACGAGATACTATTCAAACTACTTCAAGACACTGGTTCGGAAACCTGAAATAAATTCTATCATACTAGAGTAGATGAGCAGCACATAGGGAAATAAGCAGTTACATATAGCAAAAACTTTAGAAATCAGTAAGGAAGAATGATAACAGATAAATCGGATTGTATTATGCTTATTAGTCAGAAAAGCCCCTCTTTAGTTCTACATTGTCATTGGGATCTGACTTTCCTGATTAAGTTCTGCTATCCGTTCTGTCTACGGAGATCACCTCAGGGTCCTGTAAGGACACTCTTTTAAAACAGGGGTTGGCAAGCTTTACACTGACGTCTTAAAAGGCTCCAATAACAAAGTGAGAGGGGTATAAAAATACTTTTCAGGCTAAAAAGGTAATAGCAGTTATCTTCTGATGTTGCTCCTAAACAGGTAAAATAGATTGTACTTGAGGGTTCATTCACACCCACGCGTTGTATCACATGGCAGCACAGCTGCAGATAAAAGCAACGCTATCAATGTTCAGATACCTGTGCTGTGTTGCTGTGTATTTTCAAAAACTTGTACATGCAGATTTTTTTTTATATAATGTTGTGCGTTAAAGGCCCACTAAACTCAATACAAATTTAAAAACACAAGTAAAATGCATATTTATGCCCTGCCTTGCATTTGATGTGAATTGGGCCTCACTCATACCAGATCCGTTGCTTTGCGATCCATTTTTCGATGGATGCTAATGCAAAGGCACCGAAAAATGAATGGGTGTGAATGGGACCAGTTCACACCTCAGCGATTCGTTCCGTTGCAGTGCGATGAAAAAAAAAAAAAGTAGCGCATGCTCTACTTTTTTTCAGCATAACATAACGGAACAAAAACGGATGTAATCGCAATGGAACGGAAGTCAACAAACCCTCCTTAAAGTAACCATATCAGCACAAGGTCACTTGAAAGTAAAACATAACTGCAAAAAGAAGACTGCATATACTTAACTTTTTCCGGTGAGCAGTTATTTAAAAAGCCACCGCTTCATTGCTCACGGTCTTTTGCAAGTATTCACACACCTTGCTGTGGCTTTTCACACCCTCTTGGGTGTCAAAACAGGGCATACAAGCCAGCGGGAGGAACCACAGCAAGCATATACTTGCAGAAGACAGTAAGCAGTGGCGTTTCAATAAACAGGGTGCAGGAATTATAAGTATATACAGTCTTCTATTTGCAAGTATGTTATACATACAAGTGACCGAGTGCTGATAAGGTCACTTAAAGCTGCTCTATAATAATGTCCACTTTTGCTAGGCAGTAATGACATTTTAGCTTTAGTTGGCCAGGAGGTTATTCAGTAATTAGAGAACTAAAACATGCATGAAATTCATTTACTTATTTAGCAGGTGAACAATTGCACACATTATTCTATAAAGAATATAAAAAAAAAATATAAAAGACATGAGCAGTACGTTTCAGTTTGTGTATATATATATTGGCAATGCCCCTCCCTTCCCTGTATGTCACAGCTCTCTCCTCTTGTGGGAGTATCTGATTATCGTCTGTGCTTGCCCTGGCCCTCCTCCCCTCCCTACTTCACATAACTTTTTAAGTAGCTGCCAGGAAAGTAGCGAAGGGGAATACTATGGAGAAGGGGTCCCCAACCTCTGGGCCGCGGACCGAAACAGGTCCATTGGCTGTCAGGAACTGGGTCGCAGGATTCCTGGACCCGTTAGAAATCTGGACCCACGAGTCACTTCTGGGGGCGTCGTGTAGGAGGTCCAGAAATGTCACTGCCCATTGTGCATGTGTGGGGAAGCGGGTAAATAACATTCAGGGCCAAGGCAAAAATGCACACAAGCGCCTGTGCGGGGAAGCTACTGTGAATATTATGGACCC